GTTAAAAAAGGTGTGGAACATATACACATTAGAGTTTTACTCAGCGGTAAAAAACAATGACATCTTGAATTTTGCATGCAAATGGATGGAAATAGAAAACGCTTTACTGAGTGAGGTAAGCCAGACCCAAAAAGAGGAACATGGTATGTATTCACTCATAAGTGGATTCTAACCATAATTAAAGGTCTTTGAGCCTATTATTCGTGATCCTAGAGAAGCTAAATAAGAAGATGAACCTGATGAAGGTTATTTAGCTATCCACCAGGAGGTAGGAAATAGACAAGAGTCCCAGGTAACCTCGGGTGCATGGGGGGGTGGGAGGGTCGATGGAAGGGGAGAGGGTTAGAGAGAAGGGAGTAGGGGAGGAACGGGGAAAGCTTGGTGGCCGGGGATGGGGGCAGGGAGGGAGGAAGGATGAATATGGGATCAGGGAAGAATATATTTCAACTAAGGGAGCCATTTTAGGGTTTACAGGAGACTTGATTATATATGGGATCCCAGGTCCAAGGAGAGATCCCCCAGATTGCTCTCTGGACAGAGGAGAGGGTGCCTGAATCGGCCGTGGCCCATGACCATACTGAAGTATATTTTGCTTATCACCATAGATCCTTCATCTGGCGAAGGACGGCGATACAGTCGGAGACCCACATTGGATCACCGGACTGAGCCCCCCGAGGTCCAAATGAAGAACAGAAGGAGGAAGAACATGAAAAACGAAATCAGTACTGCGAGGGATGCTATCACCCACTGATACAAGGGAACGGATCTGATGAGAGTTTACCAAGGCCAGTTGGACTGGGACTGAACGAGGACGTGATCTAACCAGATTCTCGGAATTTGGCCGGATTCTCTGACTGTGGCTGGCCCGAAGTCTTTCTGAAAAGCCATTGACTATGACATTGGGACCTGTTTCCTCTACATATACTGGATTTTGGGGATCCAGTCTGTTTGGACACTCACCTTCCTGGACCTGGAGGGAGGGGGAAGGAACTGGAACTTCCCACAGGGCAGGAAACCCTGACTGCCCTGGGGGACGAAGGGGGGGGAGGGGGGGGGAGTGGGGGGAGTGGGAGGGTGTTGGGAGGGGGGGCGGAAATGGAAACTTTTATAATTTAATAAAATTTACTTAAAAAAAAAAGAGGAAGATGGGCAATGAAAAGGCTCCTTATCGAGTTTAATAGCCATTTGGGCAAGAAACTGCTCTTCCCTGGACTGATGCATAAACTGGACTCAAAGAACCCACAGAGAGAGGACTGCTAAACTTGCCTAAAGGTGAGATGGTCTTTCGAGGTTCCTGATTCATGAAAGAGTCTGCGAGACATTCTGCAGGACACAGCAGGTAGTGACTGAACTGTCTTTTAATTTTCCTGCTTCATGGAAATGTTGGCTGGATACTATGGGCCTTTGGGCTGAAGATGGATGCCCCAATGGTACAGAGGAACTTTGGGTGACTATATAAGCAGCGAGATGTCTCTGTCATTTCTAGAGTTTGGAAGTGACTTATTTCTTGTTTACTTAGGTAATATTATATCCTTCTGGAGTCTTTGATGGAGTTGAAGAATGGTTAGTTATAGTTTTCCTTCGTTATGATAAAAGATAAAGTAGACATAAATATTGTAACTAATTCTTGCTTGATAACTGTTTTGTTACATGCAATTATACTATGTTAAAGTTAAAGCCTTTCTTTTTTGTTTAAACAGAAAAAAGGGAAATGATGAAGGAGGGTTATCTGTCTATGTGTTACTTTCATTAGTCAATAAAGAAACTGCCTTGGCCTGATAACTCAGAACATAGGTAGGCAGAGTAGACAGAACAGAATGCTGGGAAGAAAGAAAGTAAGGCAGTTACCATGCTTCTCCTGCCCAAGATAGGCGTGGGTTAGAATCCTCTCAGTAAGCCACAGCCTCGTGGTGCTACACTGATTACTAAACATGGGTTAATCAAGATGTGAGAGTTAACCAATAAGAGGCTGAAACTAATGGGCCAAGCAGTGTTTAAAATGAATACAGTTTCCGTGTAATTATTTCGGGGGTAAGCTAGCTGGGATCCAGTCAGGAAGTGACCAGCTCCTTCCTTCTACAACCTCATTCGTGAATTTTCTTTGCATAGCCTGATGCTGACTTCTGGGAGCTGTATCCCTCAATAGTTAGCAATAATAAAGTTGGTTTTATAATAACCTTGGACCACTCCCCTTGAATTTCATTATGCAATGGTGTGGTACGTTCTACTCTAAATTCCTCTGTCTTTGTGTGAATATTTCTTAGTTTCATTAGTAAGTCTTTCTAAGGCTTGTATTTTATCATTCAAATTTTTATTCTCATTAATAAATGTTTCGAAGGCTTGTGTCTTATCACTATTAAGTTTTTCTGAAGCTTTTATCTTATCAATAGTAAGTCTTTCTAAGATTTTCTTCCTATCATTCCAATTTTCACAGTTATCAAACTATTTTTTAAGGATAAAACATGAATTACAAATGGAGAGTAATTGAAATTAGTATAATGTCAATCCCAACCCTGTGGTTTATGCCCTCATTTATTTTTTTCCCCTTATCAAGTCATCCAGAGTAGCACTACGGTTCCTAACTCTCTACACTGTGGTAGGAAATGTTCCCCATCCCCTTTTAAAATCTGAATTCCTCCTCTAAGAATTCCCAGATCTGTCACCAGATATGATCATCTTTCGCATTGTCCCCAGCAGCAGCTAGGGCGATAGCAGAGCTGAGCAGGGAATGGATAGCCGCTCTAGCAGCAGCACTGTGGGGGGTGATTAGTGGGGTCCTCAGGAAGTCACACTAGCAGGACTGATGCTAGGGTTGTCCTGTGCTGCCATTGTGTTTCATGGGCCAGGCTGAAGGCACCTGGAGCTGCTTATGGGCAGCAGTGGCAGTAGTGAGTGGGAGTCAAGGTGGCTGGGCTCTTCGGGGTTGGGTGCAGGAGAGGGCATCCGAAGAAAGCATGCAGAGCAAGAAGTGAGTACATGGGGCCTGCAGTGGGCAACCAACTCCAGAGACATTTGAGGCTATGGGCAGGCAGTAGCCGGAGGCTCCTGTGGAAAGATTTCAACAGAAAAACCGCAGACACGTGTAGAGGGTCTGTGTGGAGGATACAAAGTTGGCCTCAGTGGACAGATGTCTGTTCATCACTTTGGTGTGGTTTAATAATGCCACTCATTGGGTGCCAGCTATAGCATTTACCTAAACTGTTCTAGTATTAATTAAAAACTCAGGAGTCAGAAATTCAGATAAAAATCTGATATTCTAAGAAACAATGGAGAGGCAATCAGCTGACTCTATGTTGGATCAGCAGCCTAATATTGGAATACACATACAGTATATTGGGAATACAGAGATGCTGGGCTCAATCATAGGCCAATAAGTTAGGACAGACAAAATGTTCACAAAATCACAAAAGCAGAATTTCACGTTTACAAAGCCATTTACCTAAGGGTCAGCCAATTAGAAAAGGCAGCACATTTACAATAGTAAGATTAGGACACATTTGGTGTTGTTTGCTGATGACCAGTGTGACAGGTTTTACTACCTCATGCCTTACCATCTCTAGGGTTGGAACCCCACTTGTGACAGGCTTTACAGTTTCATGTTTTATGGTCCCTAAGGCAAAAGTTTTATCTCTAGCTTTACTTATGGAAGTTCAAGTAAACTTTTAGTAAACATTGGTGTCAGGCTAGATCTAGGCAAAGAATTTAACTCTTTCATGTTATATACAAACTCATGTATATATCTAACATCTATCAATATATGCATATATGCAATTGAGATCAGTGTATGCATATATCACAGGCTTATCTTTAACTCTTAAGCTCATGAAATCCTTCTGCCTGGTCTTCCAAACAGCTCAATCACATGTGTCTCCCATACATCTGAGCTTGTAGCTTGTGATGATTATAGTTATGGACATATGGACTCTCTAAGACATCAGGGCTCTGGCAAATCACTTGTTTTGTAAGCTACTTATAGATGAGCATACTTAGTTCTTGTTAACAGATAGACATGGGATTTTGACACCCAATCACCTCTAGTGTCTCAATGTTCCCAAACATCTGAAGTGGAGACAGGTTGTTGAATCCAGGATCTTACATGTGTGAGACAAGTGTTCTATCACTCAACTCTATTTCCAGGATATATATTTTAATTTGTAGTGGAATTTCTTTCCTGCCCTGTCCCACAGACAGTACCAACAAAACACACAGAGGTTTATATGAATTATAAACTTTTTGGTCCATTATCTCAGGCTTTTTATTAACTATCTCTTACAACTTAAATTAGCCCATACTTTTTATCTATGTTAGCCCTGTGGTTTGTTACCCTTTATCAGTAAGGCGTTCTCATCTTGCTTCCTCTGCATCTGGGTGGCAACTGTAGACTGAGCCTTTCCTTTCCTAGAATTCTCCTAGTTTGGTCGCCCTGCCTATACTTCCTGTCTGACTACTGGCCAATCAGTGTTTTATTAAACCAATACAAGTAATGAATTTTTACAGTGTACAAGAGCATTATCCCACAGCACCTTCCCCTTTTTCTTTTCAAAACAAGAACTGAACCTGACCAACAACTCAGTATCCAATGTTCCTTTGCAAGTAAAGCTGTGTGAACAAAAGGGTCCGCTGCATGGTCACACTAGCTCCTGGGGCCACTAAGATGCATGGAGAGGCAGGAAAGATGGAGTATCAAAGCATTTTTCATTTAAAAATATTTTATTAGTGTTTATTTTTATCTTCTTTTGTTCTTCTTTAGCTTTCCCTTGGAGGAGGGATGGTGCAAGCCTGAGGAGCAGATATGTAGAGACTAGGAGATGAGTGAGATTGGAATGCATGGTTTGGGGTCCCAAAGAACCAATTAAAAACAAAAGAAGAAGAAAAAAGAGGAAAAAAGGAAAACAGAGAAATGCTTACATGAGAGTTGGAACAAATAAAAATGAATAAATAGGTCGTATACCATCCAGATGACCCCATATGTTCTCAACCCCACATTTTTCTTGACATAGGGCACTAAAGCTCTGTGTGTTTCTCCCGAGCCCCCTTTAGCTCCTGGATCTTCTGTGGCAGAGTCTTTGTCCAGAACTGCAGCTTCCTGGCCTTCAGAGCTCTGCCCACAGAAGGATAGATGTCCAGATGCAGGTACTGCTCATCATAACCCAACTCAGGCCAGTAGGGGAGACCCTCACTGTTGGGGTTCCTGTGGAGGTGACAACAGGGGAGGGTGAGGTCACTATGATCCAAAGCCTGGTTCCCCAATTTGTGCCAGGGTAGTGGATGAGCAGGCTGAGGACCTGAGGTGACACATGAACTAGTGTTGTACTGACATAGCATATAAGGGTCACCCACCAGTGTCTGGTCCATCTGAAGCCAGGGAAGATGTCTAGTTTTGTGTTCCTTTTCAAAGGGAAAGTCTAAAGAACAGTACCAGAATACTGGGACTCAGCCACCAGGACTCTGTGAGATGAGTAGTGACAGAAAACTAGACAGTGTCTGCCTAAGTGTGCCCTGGGTCGGAGAGGACTGTGACAGAAATAAGGACCCATGCATTCTAATGAGGTACTTCCACCTGAATGGACACACAGCCATAAGGAGGTTGAGGGCAGGGCATGTTCTTACCCATGCCTTGCAAAGTTGGCCCAGTACTTCATCATCCTCCTGTTCAGCAACTTCTCCTCCTCAGTGAAGTCAACTGCAGAGAGAAAGGAACAAGGATCCAAGTCCTAGCTACCTTATGCAGGTGCTAACTCAGGCTCTACTATGCCAGTCACAGCCTGACCTTGAGCCCTAGGCCTGGTGTATACTCTACTCTTTTCCCTCAGCACTCAGAACCCAGCATCCTTCCAAGCCTCTACTTGAATTCTCTCAGGTTCACTCCTACCCCAGTGTGCTCTTATTCTTTCTAGCACAAGCTAGATTAGGAAAGGTTCATATTCTAATCTTGGTATAGGTTGTTGTTTTCAGCTCAGAAAAGATGAACACTTGATCCCATTCTCTCCCAGAACCTCACTTTCCTCAACTGGACTGTAAACGTATCAATCTCTCTGAAAGTCATCTGGGGTTCCATTCAGCTCAAGGAAAACAAGGAAGATTTACCTTTCAAGCCCCAGAAGTAGGAGCCAAAGATAAAGGCAACATGATCACCATGGTCAGCCCTCACATGGGATGGCCTGATATCCTTATGTTTGATGTAGCTGGGCTGGTGCTGGAACTCATAGAAGTAGACAGGAGCGTGGGACCCTGGGGGTGAGGACACATGATGACATAATGCTTTCTCACACCGAGCTTTTCTGCCTAAACTTTGGTGACAAGGAACCTTATTCTAAACTTATCTGGAATCACAGCTGAGCTGTGATTTCTACACTGGAATCACAGTTGAGCTGTGATTTCTACGCTGAAGCTTTGGCTATGGAATACATTTTGCTCAACACTGACCCCAGAGTTCTTAGATGAGTAGTTTTGACAAGACACCAAGTGTAACTGACATGTTTTTTCTCTCTTTTCCTGGATAAAGAGTCACTCTTTTAATAAGGCATAAGGATTTACCGAGGTCAGTGTCTTCTGGTGCCTGATATCAGAAACTTGGTGAATGCATGAGCTAGGTCTGGGCACTACATAGCTCACAAGGAACTCACAGTTCTAGAGCTCTCTGTGTCTTGGTCTTGTTAAAGATGTACTCACGCTGAAAATGTGCTACTTGGAGTGCAGGGATCACAAACATGACATCTTCCATCAACTCTCTGAACTGTGCTTGCAGAGTCTGGGGGTCCTCCACATCCCCCATGTACTCTTCCATCAGCAGGTCACTCCATTCAGGAGACAGCATCTACACCAGGAGGAATCAGAAAGAGTGTTGCAGGGCAGGCCCTTGCATAGATAGGCAGTAGCCTCTTAGTAAAGAATGTGGCCTGGTTTGAGACAGGAAGTATGGAGAAAGATATAAGCTTTGGGTGAGTAACACAGAAACACACATAGACCTTAGTCTTTATTATTGGGTGTGGCATTTGAGAAGAATATTTAGGACCCCCCTTAATCTAGACAGGATTCAAAGTCTCTCACCATCTGTGCTGCTGTGCTCTTCAGAACAGCTGCTGCGTTCTCTCTGGTTATGTTCTTTATGACAGGATCAAGGCCCTTCATCTGAAAGGCAGAGGAGAGTCTTAAGTATAGGGTGGGTTGGACCGAGATTAGAGTATTTCTGAATTACCAACACCCTCCTCTTGAGTTTAGGTCCCCAGGAGCTTAAAACCAGGTCTTACCAAAGGGATTCCCCAACCACACTCATCACTGTCAATACCAATGATGCTGGGGACATGGTGAAAATCCTCAGAGGCCAACAGCTCTCGAGGGTGCCTAGGTAGGAACGTCCCATCTATCACACCAGGGATCAACCGGAAGACCTATGGGGCATTAAGGGTCAGTGCAGAAGATCAATCACATAAATATTTTGATACCCACTGAATACTCACATTATTTCACCATTTCATGTCTCAACTCAGGATGCTATGATCACTCCAGAAGAAACTAAACATCAAAATTAGCCTATTTGTTATTTCTACACACAGTCCTAAAACGACAGTAAACTATGGAGACAAGCTAAGTGGTTCCAGTAGTAAGGGCTGGCTATCCCATGTGTTGGTGACCAGGTCCTCCAAGCCACACAATTCTCCCAACCTGGTTGATAGCCAGAATCTCTGGTTCAGTCTTCTCTCGGAGGCAGTGCACCATGGCCTCTGAGTCCTTGGCCTCACATCCTGATAAGTTGGCTACTGTCTGTTAAGAAAAAAAAATCAGTGGTTGATTCATCCTTCCCATCATTGAACAGAGTTTCTTGATTTCAAGTCTCTGTCATCACCCCTAAATACCACATCCTGTTGTTTGTTGTGTAAAAAAGGACTTAAGTGGAATTGTTCACTTTTTTGCTTAGAGGTTATAAACAGGGACTATTCTACCTGCATATTTGTTTTCTAGCTGTTGTATTGTTTGTTTTTGTGTGTGGTACTCATGTGTGGTAACAGGTACGGTATGCCATGTTTTGCCTGTGAAGGTCAGAGATCACACTTGGGTGTCACTTGTCACCTTACCTCCTGTTTGCATTTGTCCAGTTTAGCTGGACAGTGACCTTCCAGGGATTCTACTGTCCCTGTTTCCAATCTCTGCATAGGAGCACTGGGTTAGCTGTCACATAGCACCACCTCTAGCCTTATGTGAACTCTGGGCATTTGAACCTGGGGACTCACACTAGCATAGCAAGTATTTTTACCAGCTGGCCCTTACCCTCAATACATGTGTCTTGGATAAGTCTTTTTGTCAAATTGACACAAGTCAGGGTCATCTGAAAAGAGGAACTTCAACTGAGAAAAATGCCTCTATCAGATGGATCCCAAGGCAAACCCAGGTACTTTTCAGATAAATGACTGATACTGGAGGGCCCATCACATAGCGGGGAGTGCTACCCATAGGCAGGAGTCCTGGGTTGTATAAGAAAGCAAACCGAGGAAGTCATGGGGAACAAGGCAGTAAGCAGTGTTCCTCCCAGGTCTGTGTTTCAGTTCTGTCCTCCATTGACCTGCCTGAGTGTCTCCTATCATGTCCCTTCAAGATGGACTATAAACTGGAAGATGGAAGATGAAATTAATCTTTTTCTTTGCAAGTAGCTTATGGTCATGGTCTTCATCACAGCAATAAGGAGCAATGTAGGAAACCATGAATACATGGTTATGCCAATGATGGAAGCCACTGGGCACAGCTTTTCTATCCTATGTCATACTCAGCATACATAAAGCAGAGGGGATGGATTGTAAATTTTATGTCTCTCAGATATTATTGGCAAGAAGCTATTTCCATAATCCTTCTTTCCCTACTTAACAGAATATTAGAGAAAAGAGGCAAGGGCTGAAGCAGCAAAGTAAGGACTGAGATTGTAGAGGACACTCACTCTGTAGACCATCTCGGGTGTGTCAGAGATAAGGTCAGGCAGCAGGGCCACTCCACTCTGCATGATGGCTCTGTGGAAGAGTCCTTTGGACATGGGGGACACAACATGTGAAGACACACTCGTTCCTCCTGCTGATCCACCAAATATAGTGACCTGGCCAGGGTTGCCTCCGAAGTAGGCAATATTCTGCTGGACCCAGCGTAGGGCAGCCACTTGGTCCAGGTAGCCCCAGTTGCCTGTGGCATGCTGGTCTCCAGTGCTGAGAACGGTCAAGAACAGGAATTACACATCTATTCAAGTTCTATTTAGACCCAATTGTCCTTTCCAGTCCCAGGATTACCTGAAGAAGCCGAGGATACCCAAGCGATACTGGATCGAGACCATTATTATATTCTCAGTAGCAGTTAGTTTGGACCCATCATTCATGGAAGCCATTCCTACAACCAGTCCTCCACCATGGATCCATACCATCACCTGGAGAAATCAACAAGGATGCCAGGAGGCCCACACTTAGCTCAAGCTCAACTGGACTGCCTACTATATTATCATCTGCCTTGCCTCTATGCAGGTCGATGTACACACTGATCTCCTCAGGCTTTCTGGACGTGGTCCACTGATAGAACACTCTAGGCCTATAAACATATTTGTAGTCCCACTTCCCCATCAGGAAATCCCAGCATAGATTAACGACTCTATATCTAATGCAATATCATCATCACTCTCAGATCCATCAAAGTGGAGCAAACAGGAGCGTCTCCAAGTGTGTATATACTGATTGTTAATCAGAAGAGGCATCAGTCCCATTGGGGCAACAGATAATCTGCAGCTAAAAATTTTGGTGATGTCAATATGCAGCCCTTTAGCACCCTCCAGAGTGGATCTACCAGGTTCAAATTGAATTCCTGATTTAATCAAAGACCTAGAGTCTCTTACGTTAGAGTCCCAGAACTCTGAGTCACACACCCAGGTTTAAGCAGCTCAACATCAAGCTTGACCTCCTTCTTGATCCCAGTAAATTAAGACTACTAATCAGGATCTAAACTACAAGGGAGCTCAGAATTACTTTGTCCCTTCCAGTCTTCCAGAGGAAAAAAAAAACATACTCTTCCCAGTTGACACAGTCTGACACTCACAGGTAAGTTCGAACCTTCACGGGCATGAGCTGGTGTGTAGATGTTGAGATACAGGCAGTCCTCAGACATCGATGTAGGAGGCACAATCAGATTCATCTCCTTCGCACCCATTAAACTCATTATATCAGTCTGTGGACACCTGGAGAACATGGAAGACAGTCCCAGACATGGGATGATCAAAGTTAAACCTTCGTCCGAATTGTCTCTCAGGCACATTCCATGATTTCCTGCGAACATCTGAAGTCCCTTCCTACCAAGGTAAAGGCCACCAGTTCTGGGGAAGTGGGGATGGAGCAATACTTTTAGGGAGGCCTCTGGTTGGGTAGTAACACCCTGAGGGCTAGAATATGGGGACTGCTGCCATCTTCTATGAGATGGTCTCCTTCCTGTACTGACTTTCATCCATTCTGTGCTATTTAAATCCTGGTGTGGGGATTGGTTTGACTGTCACAATGTGGAATCAGCTGGGAAACGATTCATAAGGAGGGAGTGTCTTGATCAGTGGTTTTCAAACTTCCTAATGGCACACTAGTAGAGTTCCACACGGTGTAGTGACCCCCAACCATGAAATTATATTTTTGCGACTTCACAAGTGTTTTTGCTACTGTTATGAATACTAATGTAAATGTCTGACATGCAGGGTATCTGGATGTGACCTCTGGGGTTTGGGATCCATGGGTTGAGAACCATTAGTCTACAGCCTGTTTGCCTTTGGGCAGGCCTGTAGCAAATTATCTTGATTACCTTCATTGAGATAGGAATACCTGACTATTGTAGGAGGTGCCATTCCCTGGGAAAGGGTCTCTGAACTGCCATCTCTCACAACACTCTATAGTTCAGGGGCCTCAGGGAGACCAAATCGCAGTGACCCTACAGGTGTCTTGATAATGGGAATTCCCAGGAAGGTGTAGACACAAATTTTACTGTCTTTCACATGGACAAAGCTTCCTCTCACCTGCCCCGTGTGTGGTCCTGATGGGGCTGGCTGAGTCCTGGCCTGTAGGTGGAGAGATGCCACATGCGGAAGATAACCTAGGTGCTCTCAGTTCAGCTGTGGGATGTGGAGATGAGGCCTTCTCAGTTACCTGGGGCTGCAAATCTTGTCCACTGGCCCTCATGAAAACTCACAGGGCACTATTCTAATCAACAAAGTGACAGGCTAAGAGCCACAACAACAGTAAACAGAACGCAGAATCCTGCTCAGGCAGGATTTTGTGCCTTCAGGGGTGTAGGTGTGGAAATTTGGGTGGGTGGGGGCAAATCTCTTATTGCAGGAGAACTGAGGAGAGCCAATAACCAATAAGCTGGGCACAACCACTGCTGCAGGTTCAGCTTCTTCCCTGCCTTCTTGGATAGACAGAACATGACATCTGAAGTCCTTCTGGAATGCCAGGATCCCTGTCCTTGAACACTGAGTCACCATAGGGCAAATATCCAATAAGCAGGATATTTAATAGGCAACCCCTTTGTAGGGTTGGAACACCAAGTTGAGAACCACTGGTCTAGATCCCGTTTGTCAGTGGGCAGGCCTAGGGCAAATTATCTTGATTACATTTATTCTGAGAGGAATACCTGACCATTGTAGTAGGAAACAATCTCGGGAAGGGGATTCTGAATTGTAAGAATAGAGAGAGTAAGGAGAGTTTTAGCATGCATGTGTCCTTTAGGCTATGTTCCTGATTGTGGATGTGATGTGATCCACTTCCTTAAGCTTCTGCCTCTGTGGTTTCCACCTATGGATGATTATAACCTGGTATTGAGACCCATAGTAAAATCTTTCATCACTATGTTTCTTTTGTCATGATACTCTACTATAGCCAAAGAAAATAAATTAAACCTTTTGGGCACTGGGGTTCAGTGCCCACATAGGGTCTATAGAAATGAATGGACACTACCACAGGGTAGTGAGATTCTTCATCTCACTTCAGACTCTCATGGTACCTCATTCTTCCACATTGTCTCTTCACAGTGGAAAGCTTGTGCACCTGTTCCTTAACCAATGGCACCTGGACAGTGGGTGGTCACAGGGACCCTGAAGAATGGCCTTAGTCTCTGCTCCTCACTGCAGTACATGCAGCTAAGTCCCTACAGGCCCCAAGCTCTGACCCAGGAGCTTGGTACCCTTGTTCCTCTCTAATCCTTAGCACATTCCTCTGAAAACTGCATGAGAGATGCCCTCAGGACAGACAGAACACTGCTGTAGAGCTGAGATGGAGGAAGCACAGTAGTGTGGCCCAGAGCTCAGGCCTGATGCTCCCTGGGCCCCAGAACTTACATGGCCGGATGGGAGGTCCCATCTCTCACACCACTCCCTGCACCCCAAAACTTACATGGCTGGCTCAGAGGTTGCATCTCTCACACCACTCCATGGCTCAGGGGGCTCAGGTGGTGCAAAGCGCAGTGGTCCCACAGGTGGCTTGGCAAAGGGAATCCCCAGGAAGGTGTGGACACCAACATCACTGTCTTTCACATGGACGAGGCTTCCTCTCACCTGTCCTGTGTGTGTGTTCCTGATGGGGCTGACTGAGTCCTGGCCTGTAGGTGGAGAGAAACCATCGGTTGTTACCACACTGGGGAATTCCTACCTCACTGTGGTACATGGGAAGGTAAGCTGGGTCCTCTCAGTTCAGCCGTGGCATGTGGAGATGAGGCTTTCTGTATTTCCTAGGGCCAGAAACCTTGTCCTTTGACCCTCTTAAAAATTGTCAGCAAAGTGACAGGTTCAGAGCTACTTGGGATTATGAAGGAACTATTGCCATTATTCAAGGTCAGTAGAAACTCCACCCATAACCACACATGGAGGAGGGACATGTCCCTCCAGCTCTTTTGTCCCTTCTGGCTCCCGATCTTAGACATCTGAGCCTCTATGTGACACATGGCCCATCCTATGGGCTTTGGTGTGGGCATTAGTGGGCGCTCAAATCCACACTGTCATCTGTCACTTCCACCAGCTCCTTCCTCCCTGGTTCCTTCCCTCCCACAAGTTCAGCCTGACTTTGCAGACTGGGATGGCTCTGATCCTGGTCCCCTCTGCTCCCTTAGACAGTCTCACCATGCACATGGAGGAGGAGAAGCAGATGCCAATAGACCACAGCAAATAGCCAGCCAGGAAGTCTATCGAGCGGCATGGTTGAATCCCAGGCAGAAGTCTGTGTTGCTACAAGATGTCAGTCTCTCAGCAACAGGAGACAGAATAGGTAGGCATTGCCCAGGCAGGAATTTATACCTCTCGGGGTGTAGAGGTGGAAATTTAGTTGAACTGGGCAAAGTTCTTATTGCAGCACAACTGATAAGGCAGAAGCCAACAGGGAATCAATAGCCAGCAGGCAAGACAAAGCCACTCTTCAGTTTCTCCTCCTTCCCTGGACTCTTGGATAGACACGGCACGGCATCTGAAGTCCTTCTGGAATGCCAGGATCCCTGTCTTTGAACATGGAGTCATGATCCCCAGCCTTTTTATTCAACCAACCCAATGTGGGTATGGGAGAGGAGGTCAGGGAGCAGAAAGCTGTAACAGGAGAAGCCATGGGGCTTCCGTGAGTAGGAACACACTCATGATTCCACAGACGGAGAGAAGTAAGGGCAGGAGCTCTAAGTGTGACCTCATCCTCATGACACCTCTGTGCTGCCAAGGCTCCTAAAATAATGGGAGCGTCCTCAGGTCCCTTGTCCCTTATGGTGATCTTAGAATCTGCAGGTCCCTTCCCTATTAGGTTGTGCTGGTTTCACTGGTAGAAACTGGATTGCTGACTCTTCTGCCTGTGTGTGCAGCAGTTCAGTAACGCCTTCCGTCCCTAGTGTGCTTGTTCTCAACATCCCTAATGTTATTCCTTTAATCCAATTTGTCATGTTGTGGTGACCCCTAAACAAAATTAGTTTCATCTCTACTTCATAGCTGTAATTTTCCTACTGTAATGAATTGTAATGTAAATATCTGATATGCAACCCCTGTGAAGGGGTCATTTGAGCCCCAAGTGGTCATGACCCACAAGTTGAGAACCACTAATGTAGTGGAAATCCCAGGCATCATTCCTCTCTGCCCAACTCCTGAGCCCAACTAAAGCTCATCCTCAACTCTCTCTGCTCCCTGGTTTTGGAGATTGGCACTGCAAGAGTCACCACTTTGTTAAATTCTCATGGTTGGCCTCCTAGCAGTGAATGAAACTATAAAGCTGGTATCCTAGGATGGCACAGACAGGTTTTTCACATTCAGGGTTCTTGGAAATATCAAGATGTAGAGAAGGGGGAATAGAGCTCTTTATCCACAGAGAAAAATGCTTTGTGGGAACACAGAGGCAGGTTGAGCACCATTTGTCACCTTTGTATAATGGAATAAAATATAAAAGGACGTTTTTAATAGAGGACCTAGGAAAAGTTTAGGGATGATAGTAAAGTCAGAATATAAATCAATAATGTGGGAGATGAAATAGAATGATTGTGTCACGATGAATCAAAGAGTTCTTGGGATCTGTGAAAGTTAGAAATAGCCTTCCTTACATGGACAGGTTCTCGGGGAGATAGAGACAGTATGCTCTTCTTCTGGACATTTCTGGACCTTCTGATGCTCCCATTCCACTTCCGGGACACACCTCGCAGTCAAAGAGATTCACAGGTGTCCTGAGCATGAAACTTGAATCTCATAGCATCTCCAGGTCCTGGGGGATGGGCAAAAACTTCAACATCCTCTATCACACAAACATACACACACACATACTACACACACACACACACACACACACTACACACACACACACACACACATACACACACACACACACACACACACACACACACACTGACATGAGAGCTGCTGGGAGAAGCACAGCTGTGATTGCACACAAAGTCCTGGCCTGCTGTGCTGGGGACCAGGGAATGAGGGGATAACAGAAATTCACCTAAGGACCTAAAAGACCTACACGCTCTAAGTCTGGACATTGGGTGAAGATAAGTGTTTAGACACCGTGGGTTTGCTGACTCTTCTGTACCTCAGAAAATGTCCTGCTTTGGCGGCTGTGCAGTCTTAAGCAGTCCTGATCCTCTCTGCCTGGGAGTGCAGGGAGGGGTCCAGGGAGACCCTCCTCCTGCTGTGTGCCATCTCTACAGCTCCACCTCCCTGGCACCTCCCCTCCCCCAGCACCATAGTCAACACTGCAGAGTCTAGCAGACCTGAAGGACGGCTATGCAGTCGGAGGCCCACATTGGAGCACCGGATTGAGCCCCCCGAGGTCCGGAGGGGGAGCGGAAGGAGGAGGAACATGAAAGACGAAATCAGTACTGCGAGGGATGCTATCACCCACTGATACAAGGGAACGGATCTGATGAGAGTTTACCAGGGCCAGCCGGACTGGGACTGAACGAGGACGTGATCTAGCCAGATTCTCGGAATTTGGCCGGATTCTCTGACTGTGGCTGGCCCGGGGTCTTTCTGAAAAGCCATTGACTATGACACTGGGACCTGTTTCCTCTGCATATGCTGGATTTTGGGGATCCAGTCTGTTTGGATGCTCGCCTTCCTGGACCTGGAGGGAGGGGGAGGGAGCTGGAGCTTCCCACAGGGCAGGAAACCCTGACTGCCCTGGGGGACGGAGGGGAAAGAGGGGGGGAGTGGGAGGAGTGGGAGGGTGTTGGGAGGGGGGGCGGA